TTTATTGAATGTTCAGAAACTACTGTGGCTGTGATGCGCCACAACAAAGGTAAGCAAACGTAAAACAATCCGAACAGGTGATCAACTCTAAACCATTCGCACCTTTTTACTCTCTCTCTTTGTCGTTCAAGCACACCCGTTGCCATGGGAACCGCCTGCGCTCCCCAAGCCGACCAGAGATTACGTTAAAAACATAACATTCAGTCTGTTACGATATCAGGTTTTCGGGCTTGATATTTATTTTGTGATTATTAATAAGCGCTCCCCTGAACACAGCGGTGGTTGATTAGTTAATTTTAAACTCCTGCTCTGCCATTTTGATAATGGAACCGAAATGCACAGAATTGTGCAACACCTTGTTGAAACAATAACTACTGAGATTGTTCGCTGGGTCATTAATTTGAACACGTTTTGTTGATTGTTTTTTGTTGTTCTTTAATAAAGTCACGAACGTTTTGAAAAAGAGTCAGAGGAGGACGTGCTGGCAGCCTCCTGGCGGCGTTCAGTTTGTCTCCTAATGTCGAGATCGACTCAGAACCTTCCGCGATTGACGCATCGCACCCCTGCTCCAGCAAAGAACAGTTCAGAAATAACATGAAATGAGAAAAAAGCTATTCATTAACTGAATAAGTCGTGTTTTAGATTGTTCTTGAAGAACTAATCAGTCACGGCTGATGGGCGCACCTTTTACAGCTGAGCCCTCTCCTCTCTCTTGCAGGTACTGCTACCCTTGCTACGTTTTTTAGGGGTACGCAGTACCCAACCGTACCGCCTACTTTCACCCCTGCTTGTGACCACAATTTCCTTCAGTACTACATGTTCAGGCTGAATGAAGTGAGTCATTGTTGTGGACAAATTCTGGTCATGACTTTTAGTAGAATTGGGGAAATAAACAAGCTGAAGCATAAACTGCAGAATAAGATGATTATATAAAGGGCTTACTCATAGGGGCAGAAAACTACTGCATGTGACATCAATTGTGCCCTGCTTGATGCCAATCTACTGTATAAATCCCAATGACATATACATTGAACTTTACTGTTGTACTTTTTCTCAAAGACTAACAAAACATTTCCATGTTTGAGACTTAAATCCCAAAATAATCAACTTAAACGGCCCTCCTATACACAGATCGATGAGTGTGTGTTTATATGCATCGTGGGAATGGGGTGTCAGCTCCTGTCAGGAGAGTGAAAACTTTTTCAATTACAAGTTTAAGGTGAACTTAGATGGAGTGGAGTTGAATTATCAGAGCACTGCATTAACTGAGACATTTACCATTATAACCACATCATTGGAACTGTATCATTAATCTGTCAACAC